GAATCTTATCGCTCACTCTAAACAAGATCAATTCTAAATATAGTGAAGCCTGGAGTGTTAGGCCTGCAATTCTGAACCACTAGAGGATGAAGTTTGGAGCAGACTAAATATGGGAGTAAGTAATGACCGTGCAGACTCCAGTTGCTCAGAAAATGAGGCCAAGAGAGGAAACCGTTAGTCAAGTGAAGAGGCAGTCTAAGGGATGGAAGAAAGTCTTTGCCAGAGATCTGAGAAAGAATTGCTGTATACAGAATATTTAAAGAGCTTAAAAAGCTAAAAATCAAAAATGGAAAGAACCTGATTAAAACAGTGGTCTAGAGAACTGAACAGTGTTATCGACTAACACAAATAGTTAATAAGTACTCTAAGTGTTCAACATCTTACTCTTAAGTCAAGATCGCTATTTCCAAGGCCAAATGCTGCCAAATGCTGGCAGTGTTGTGGGGAAGGAAATGCAGTAGGAGTGTAAACTGGTGCAGCCGCGATGAGGATCAGTGTCAGTGTCTCAAAAACCTCAGATAGAATTGCGCTCTATGCCCAGCTGGACACATACCCTCCAGCAGAGATACTCTAGTTCCATCTTCATTGCTGTTCTGCTCACAATATAGAGGAAATGGAACCAGCTTAAATGTCAATGGATAAAGAATGGATAATGAAAGTGTAATATACACAATGGGATTTTATTCAGTGGGAAAGAACAAAATTACTAAACTTTCAGAGAAAAAAAATGGATGCATCTGAGAAATATTATACTGAGGGAGGTAACCGAGGTCCAGAAAGACGAATGCTGCATGTTATCCCATATATGATGATACTAGCTAGAAATTTTAGAACAGCATTCTTAATGTTGAGTCTTGGTAAAGGCCAGAGAAAGGTGTGTGTGCGTATTAGTTAAGAAGGATCGAACACAATGGGCATGAAAGTGGTCGGGTTACTAGGGACAGAAGGTTTGAACAGGGAGAGGGGATGGGAGTACAGGGAAGAGGAGGGTGGCGCATAAAAGGATAGCCAAAGAATATATAGAAAATCCATATGGGTACGACTTTATAAGCTCTTTCAAAGAAGAAAAACTTTAGTCATAGGTATCCTCTATAGATGGATAATATTCCTCCAAAAGTAATGTTACTAAATAAAAATCTCAGTGCCAGATATGGGTACTGCTCCTATGAGTTGTTGATTGGGGGCAGGGGCTCAAATATTTCAAGGCGATATCCTGGTTGCCCACCTGAACCTGAAGACTATTGCTGGAGATATCACATACTCCGGTCATAGACAGAGAGAACCAGGCTGGAGCTGAACTGGAAGATTCCTCCCTTCTGACGAGCCTTCATAGTGCACGAATGTGCTATGCAGGCTGCTGGGGAAGAAGTAATTAATGGTGTTACTCGGCTATGGATCCTGAGAGCTGTCATAACGACCCACCAGGCACGCTATGCCAATCTATGAACCAGTGCCACGACTGCTATGGGGATACCGGCTGCTAACTGGAGGCCTGCTGTACAAGAGGGAAATTGTTCTGTAAAGCTGGCCAAGAGCCCATGGCTGGGGATGTCACAAGCCCTATGGAGATCCTACTACTATTTTTTAACTACACGGTTATGTTGTCAAACTGGTTTATACTCAGGTTCATTCCTATGTTAGTGCTGCCCCCAGCCTTCAGAGGAGCTCAGAGCAGAGGGCAGAGGTTAATGTAGACACTCTAACGTAAACGCCACAATGCTGAGGGTAAGTGTAGTGGTGTGCTCAGTCCTAAATGGACCAGCCAACGTCACCTCCTTCAAGGGTCAGGGAACATCATGGAAGAGGGTAGAAAGACTGATAGAAACCAGAGGATGGCGAGAGTCGAAGCAAAAAGATGACTTCTGGACATGACACTCTCATGAAGTCCTGCAGCTCTGGCTTATCTACACACGACAGGCCCACGACATTTTCCTCTGGACCGGGGAGGGGACGCACTGAAGCCCCATCCCTCCCGAACCAACAGTGTTGGAGGGGGTATAATTTTTCTCCAGTGGTGTAGAAACTAACAAGTAACCTCCCACTTATGCCTGAGCAAGAAACTAAACTCAGAAGGGAGAGGGGCATGGAAGTAGGAAGGATCTTATTAAGAAGAGTTTCAGTGGAGAAGGAGGGGAAGGTTAGGGAGAACAACTAAAATCCATTATATAAATGTATGACACTGTCAGGCAGGCAGTGGTGGTGCATTCATTTAATCCCAGTACTCAAGAGGCAGAGGTAGGCAGATCTCTGAGTTCGAGACCAGCTTGGTCTACAAGAGCTAGCTCCAGGACAGCTAGGGCTGTTACACAGAGAAACCCTGTCTCAAAAAACCAAAATAACAGTAATAATGATGATGATGATATATGAAACTGTCAAAAAAAAAAACCTTAAAAAAATACAGAAAGCTAGCTTGGCATGGCATATACCTTTACTCCCAGCACTGGGGGGTAGAGGTAGGCTGCCAGACAGGACTACATATGAGACTCTCTCAAGGTAAGTTTTACCATGAAAAATTAGATTTAGTTTCAAATTTTGAGATCTCTACAAATTTATATACAAAATATTCTGGCACTTGGAAAATTGATTCACAGAATTCAAGCCATCAGTCTAAATTAAATAAATGGGATAGAAAACTTACATGAAGGCTACTTGGTTTCAAGACTGAAGTACTCAGAGGTCTTAATCCTGTTAAGTGTGTGTATTTTGGACAAAAAAGACAGGATGTGTTGACTTTTAGATGGAGAAGATGAACCATCCAGAATTCCATGTGCACAGCAGCTGTTGGTAGCTTGACAGACATTACTAACAGTGACACACTAAGGCTGAGCACCTATAATTTTCTAGTACCCCTGTGTACCAGAGCTTTGGTCTCCCTGTGGAGGACTGTACCCATAATAAAATCCACCTACCTTTGCTAACTGACAGCACAAAGTGTCACAGCTAATCTAGCAGACATATTTTGTGGAACAAAAATATTCAACCCCTTAGAATTTTAAATTAGGTTTTATAGTGGTTCTTCTATTGATACTTTTACTAAAAATATTTTAATTATGGAAAATGCTATTCAAATTAAATTCCTATACTTACGTGATTTTTTTCAAAATAAATTTCCCAAATCAAATTATTTTGTCATAAAATAGAATACTCTGACCTTAGAAATTTTAGAATATGTAAGAAAAACACAAGAACCTAGAGTTATAATATTAAGAAACTCTAGCATTAAAATACTTAGCTGTGGTCAACATGTTATTCTGAAAACCAGAAAATGTAAAAGTTTCCAATTCTCTTTAAATGCTACCCAAGGAATGGCATCTGCTCTTTTATGAGATTCACTGGTGACATCACAATGCCTATCTAAAGTCACTGACAGTTCAAATCCAAGAACCTTCAATAACAGATACCACAAAAAACTCTTCTTGCTACTGGGGCCTCCAAGTGCTTATGAGATTGAATTCACATCAAGAGATCAACCTCAGTTATTTCCTTGGAGGCTGGTTTTCTTCATGTAAGTTGAAGATGATCATGGAATGAATGACCAAAGCCATGTTTAGTACACCAAAGCTTAATGAGAAGAAATCTGTAGGTACTTATATGTGCTTGCAGATGAGTTGGCCCATTCCTTATACTCCCTTGTGTCAGGTAGAGATGGGTGTGTGCCACATGCCACCACTATGAAGGCTCAGGCAGGGAGTATTCTGAGCTTAAGATCAACAAGGGCTACACATAGAGCCTCCCACCCCATCCCACCCTCAAATCAACAGCAACAGCAAAGCCAACAACTTATAATTTATAATAACAACAGGAGTCTAGAAAGTATTTGGTTGGAATAAATTTATTTCATCTGTCTGTAAACAAGGTGTTTAATAGTTATGGCATTTTTTTAAATGCATATTAAATCAGATGAGTTAGACTGTATCCCAGATGTAACAAAGTGCAGGGAAAGAAATGGACAAATCAGCAACAAGATTTGTTTTTAAATCTGTACATTATCCACAATGCCCAAACAATAGAAGCAAATACTAGAATGTCCCTAAAGTAGTGCCATTCGAAAGAAAACCCATCTCACAATAGCAACTGTTCATTTTAACAATAGTATGGCACAGAATACATATGAAAAAAAATACATCACAAGACAGCCAAGTCCACAATAATGCAACTTCATATAAAAACCTAAGCTGCAAATAAAAATTGGTCCTATGAAAAATAAACTGGACACACTCCAGATGGTTATGTTGGGAACCTAATATCCATAATGGCAGCCTTTTATAATTTTACTCAAGAAGAGAGCTGGTGTGCAAAGAAAAGACAAGAAGTCTGAGCTACTGCAATGACAGAATGTCCCTGGGAATTTGATCAGTATGGTTATTATAGTAAGGTCATGGGAGGAAGTGCCTTTGCTCTCTTCATATCCTATAGACACTACAAAGAGTCTGTCTCAAGTGCAATCATAGTATTAAAAGCAAATCACCACAGCTCTCGATAGCTCGTCAACAAAGGAGGTATTAATTAGGTTAAATAAACCAGGCACTACACAAGAGAATGGAAGCAAACCCAATACCTCATGTTCAAAGGGAAGGGATGAGAAAAGAGTAAAGTAAAGATGCATGCACTTTTTCCTCCCAACCATGCGCTACAAAAGGAAGACTAAATGAGCCAAGTAAATGCTCAAAGTGCTGAAAAGACATTGATCAAATTAGAGATTGTACAACCGGCACCTTGCTTAATATTAACTTATTTTAGTAATCAGTATCCCATTAATTAATTGCTAAGACAAAGTGATGCCCAACTTGGCATGCCCCTTTCCCCAATTTCAAGATATCATGCAAATCATTATTGTGCTGCAATTATGATGCCAGATAAAGGTTGGTTACACACAGTGGTTAACATACAAATGACCCCTTGGGAATCATGACATTAGAAAATAGATAAAGAAAAACTAGCTACCATCTACAATCTGGTAGCACTGTGACCGTAATTGGGGTGGTGGTGAAGACAGTTGGTAGGTAGGTGGGAGAGGCTGCTTACACATCAGACCTCCTCAGGTATAAAGCGAGTTCATATGCTTTCTTGTTAAGTGTGCCTCCGTGGACACCTTCCTTTCCCATGACTATAACCAATGCTGGAGTACACAAGGAAACAAAACAGAAGTGAACACAATTATTTCAGGGGAAGGGGCAGAAAGAAAGACACCTTTCCCCACCAACAGAGGGATACAAAGGAGACATGTGTTCATATCCCATCACCCTGCATTGCTAATAAAATTTCCAGAATTAAGACTTAAGCTTACAGCTAGGAAAATTTAAGAGCAATTTTCCCCTAATACTTAACAGTCTGCCTAGCAGCTAGAACCCAGAGTCTCTCAAGTATTTTGCCATTGAGTATGCCTTCTTATTCAATCCGCCTCCATGGACCCCTTCTTTTCCCATTACAAAGACCAAGACTGAAAGAAAAAGGAAAAAAGTGTTTCAAAAGAAGTGTTAATCAAGAGAATCACATAAGTTTAAGCAGACAGAACCCCAATTAATAAGTTAACATTAAGTTAGTTTTCCATGAACTGTCAAGCACTGAAATCCATTGGGTCTCCAGAATGGAGGAGCTTTCAGGCTAGTGATACTAAAATCAGAGCGCACTATTGGCTGCACCTGGGATCTTTGAGAGCTAGGAGAAAAGTGATCGTTTACCTTGCAGCCTAGGAAAAATATCCTGATTGATATGAGTATTTGTTTCCCAAAATATAATTTAAAAACTTCAATATTTTCAATTGACAAATTTCCCCCAAGTCTAACATGTTTGATGAATACAAGCTATTGTCTTTAGAGTATGACTATAAATGAGTAAACATGGCCTTCCCTTCCAGAGGAAAATGAAAGCCAAATTTTAAACAGAAATTCCACTGCTCGCCAGAAAATGCTACATTAGCAGTATTTGTCTCACCCAGATGCTTCCCTCTGCTAGGCATTTTCTGATATAAAAGTCATAAAACTTGTTTACTATTTCTGGTACCTAATTCTGCACTGAAGTTCAGAGGTCTATCCTCAAATACACGGACAGGTGTGTGTCAAGTGGTGCACTGACTGCCACTAGATGTCAGCAGTGTTCTGTGGTATACAAATCTCATTTGGCTTTCTATGTGCTGATTTTTTAAAAATGCATATTGGTGGGTTTTTGATATGCAGATCTATATACTGTATGTGTCTGGTGTTCTTGGAGGTCAGAAGAGGGCATCACAGCCACTGACACAGTAGCTACAGACAACTGTAAGCGGCTGTGTAGGCACAGGGAACAGAAGCCCAGTCCTGCAGAAGGCAGGCCATCGCTAGTAGCCACCGAGTCATCTCTCCGGCCTTCAGCTGATGCATTAAACAAACAAACAAAACCTCAACCATATGCATCTTATACATCTGGAAGCAGCTAAAACGTAAGATTTGTGTGTTTTAAAGTCATCTTGTTTTCCAGAAACCCATAAGCAAATCACACCTGAATCAGATACCCACAGGGAGTTGGTAAAACCACAGCATTAAATGATAACTCACTGTAGGCTCATGTATCTATAGAGCTGTTCTATGTGCCAACTCTGCCAAATGAGGCAGTTATACAAGTCAATAAGCTTAAATGCAGTTACGTGTCAGTGAGAGGTCAGAGTAAACTTCAATTTCCAAAGTTCTCTTTGAAATATCAGATTTCCTTATGCCAGGTTGAAACCAGAATTTTTATATCAAGTCTGGAGATTGGTATCAGGGTTTATTGGCCAAGTGTGTGAATTACATGTAGTTTGCTACTTTTCAAGTTGAAATCTTTGGAGGTAGTTCAGTAAATAAGAAATGTGCTCCAAAACCCTCATGTAACTATTTATCTCTTCTTCAGAAATGTTCATTGCAGAAGAATCAACCACTGTGATTTTTTTTTATGATGAGCAGTGAATTGATTTCAAATCTAAGCAAACATGAAGGGGAAGATCAACAAGTAAAGACTCACTAGAGATAAAACAGCCAGCTGACCTGGACAGTCCAGCCGCCATATGAACCACAGGATTATGACATACTGGAGTGTTGAAGAGGCGACTTATCATTTTGAAGTTTACTAAAGCTTACAATGCAGAGCTGGTATTAATAATTTAGAGTAAGTCAGGGTGAAAGAAGCAAGGCTGAGTGTGCGACCACTGTAGCGTAGACAAACGGAAAGCAGGACCTCCCTTCAGTGCTGAGCAGTTCACAAAAACCACCTTCACAGACATTATGAACTAATATTTAATTTAAACCATTAAAGAAAGGCAAGTTGTAATATCGCATGCAACTTTTAGGCACACACACCCAAACAAAAATAATTGCTTGCTTACCTCTACCAGCTCTGCCAACAGCAACATTGTATGTTGGCTCCCCACCTTGACTCTTTGTCCGGATGTCCATTGTGCAGTCACCATCAACGTATAGGCTATCTCTGATCACTGAACACTTCTTTGCACCAAGAGTCAAACCGTTGGTAAAGAAACCTTCCCGGTCTTTTCCTACAATCATATCTATTTCTACTGGCTGGTCACCCAAAACAAAGAAAAGAAAAAAAAACCACTGACGTTAATTCTTTTCAGAGTTTGATACAACAAACTGTGCTGATGTAAAATCAAGACAGCATTTTCTGTTATTGCCTGTTCTTACATGATTGCATGCTTTACATTAATTAGTTTGCTTTTGTAATTATCAGTGAGGTCTGCTAAGTAAAAGCTAGTGTATACCAACCATGCAAAGAGCCTCCCTAAATAGTTGGCAGTTAACACTAGGTACAAACGAGTTATTTATAAGCTGTATCACGTCAGGTGGTGCTTGAAGGTGCTTATGTAATTGCAAAGAGTCAGCTATAAGCTCTTCCAACAGCTTGTCTATTATATTCAGCCACATTAGTCATGCTGCAACAAATTTAAAGTTGGGTAAAAAGTCTCCCCAGACAAGCTTGCTCCCGTCTCTCCTTAGAGCAGCTTGAAATATCCCTGGTAGTATGAACCTCAATCATCAGACTGCTGGACATTTCCAAATTCGTATTTCCCTCCTATTTTTCTAGCCACTACTCTTTTCTCTCCAGCTTGCGTTGCCCTTTCATTCAGTAATCAGCTTTCTTTCTGGACAAATGCAGAGTGGATTCTGTCTACAGCACTGTCGTAGGCGATAGTGAAATTATACAGAAAATGGAGGGGCATTGGTAAAGAAAGGTGAGGTGGTCACCAGAACCGGAAAAGAGAAAACGTGCTTAGATTCTAACATTCCATGAATAAGAAGGAAGGCGTCGCCCCCATCAGAACTGCAGAGTCATAGCAGGCCCCAGCCATTTCCAAGCACACTCCCGCAATCTTCTTAGCCAGAGAGTGGGAACTCACACACAAAGACAAGACTGCAGAAAAGAAAGTTGATCACCAAATGTCAGTTCGCTACAGGAATTGTAGTCTTCCACATCCGGACAGGAGATCCTAAAGCACTCCTACCAAGGGCTGAATCGACACTAAAGTGGTAAACCATGTCAAGTAGTAAAATGCTGAGCACCTGGGATGTGAGACTTGAATTCTGCTGTGTGCTGGGGAGGGAGTGGGAGTGTAGGGCTAAGGGAATGGTCTAGTGCTTGATACCGGTGTCAACATTTTAAGGAGACTTGCGTAGAAATGGCCAGAACAATAAGCAGTGCTGGGGGCTGACTGACGAATATTCCCCAAATGTATGGCAACGGAGTCAAAAGCCATCAAGACACATGAATATGAGGCAGCGTGAAGCATAAATCGGTATTAGTTCTTTTACTACCATCACTAAAGAGGGAGTGACTTGGAGAAGTGTCACCCCCTCCCGCGACTTCCCAGATAGATTTTTTTCCTCTTTTAATCACCCTAAAACCATCCTCTTTTTAGAGCTATGTTGCGTAACTGGGGATAACGGTATATCGATGAATCTCTATAGGTGGAGAAGAGAAATCAATGGCAGTTCGCCATCTTGGAGGAAAAAAAAAAAACTATAGAGCCACAGATGAAGTAAATTCACGATTCCACCTACGTGGTCCGCGTCCCCTTCTCGCCAGCCCAGGAGGCCTGGGCACCGGCAAGCCTACGCCAATTCACTCCATTAATTCCCGGGACCCGGCCACCGCCGCCTCCCATAGCCCGCGCTCACCGCCGAGCCAGGGCCAGCCGGCCGCCCAGGACCCCCGCCCGCACCCGGGGACCCGCACTGCAGCCCACGGGGCTC